CTTACTATCCATATAAAAAATTAAATTATTTTTCTTATCTCACTCCACCTCCTCCACTTATCCCCCCCCCCCCTGCGATTAGAGCCGCCAAAATGGGTTGACTGATATGCTCAAACTTACTTCTCAAATAAGAAGTAAAGCGATCGTGTCAAGTAAATAACCCAACTAGTGAGGTTGGGATCGTTCCCACGAGGAAAATAGTCTAGACTTAACTTCAACCTGTTATTACTATTGTTTGGTCAATGACTTCCTTGGAAAGAAAAAACAATAAAGGGGGGTTTCTATTTCTAAATGAGTGAAAATAAATAACGAACTTGACAGAGGCACTTAACAGCTTTTGAATGTTGGGTTTTAATCAATTAATCAAAGTAACTAGGGTTTAGGTGTTCCCCACAGCTTCATTACTTGATAATTCCAACTATAACAATTCTTTCGTAGTATCTTGCATGCAAAGTGATAAGTTATGTATTTCTAAATCCTTGGTCCGGCATCTAGAAAATCTCACTCCATACCTTGGTCCGGCTACGTGTGTTGCTATCCTAACCCTTATCCTTACCTCATATTAAGCATCGTATTCGATATTTGACTAAGTTATTACCTTGTACCAATCAATACTAGCCTATTAGATAGTATACACTAAATCTATGTTAATAATTCTTTTCCTATTATCTACCTCCTTGGTCTGGCAAGTAGCATTAAGGCGAGTTCTAACGTTGGCCATCCGTTAAAAAGACTTTTAAGCGAAAGAATTATTAATACATGCAAGACGCTAATCTAGAATTGTTATTTTAGTTTGGGTTTATCTCATTAGTTGCCTATGGTTCCCACAACCCTAGTTATGGAGTTTAGTTACTCATAGCCATAAACACAATATTCAAATATATTAAATACGAATTCATGTACTTACTTCAATGAGAAAGAATAAAATCCAAAGTTTGCTTGATTAATATCCAAAAATCACTTGCAAGAATCTCAAAATCCAACACTAATACACAAAGTCTACAAATCTGATGTCTAATCTCATAGAGTCTAACCTCAAAAACGAGGTTTTTCGAACTGTTTAGAAAAAAACAAAAACCTAATTAAACAAGGATTCTAATTGTTGGAAATCTGCCAAAACGCGGTGGGTCGACGGACCATGCGATGGACCGTCATGGTCACGACAGACCATCATGGACTCCGTCGTCCCATACTTGTGCAATTTCTTCTGCTGCTATCTTCATTCCCCTCGAAGGCAAGTATGACAGACCGTCATAGGCACAACGGTCCGTCGAGGGTATTCGTTCCAAAACACTTCAACTCTAAGAATGTGGATACTGGGATCACTTCTCTGAACTTCATGACGAACCTGCAGGACGGACCGTCATAGCCACGATGGTTCGTCACAAGCTTCGTAATCCCACACTTGGTCAGACTTCCCCATCTTCCTTCAGCAGTTGCACTACGCTGCCACCTACGGACCGTCACAAGCACGACGGACCGTCATAAGCTCCGTAGGTGGTCTCTTCTACAATTCTTCGCTCAAAATCTCCGCATTCAGCTTTGGACAAATTTCCTACAAAACAAAGAGAAACTTATATAAAAATTAGCACAAAAAGGTTTTTGGACACACTAAACTTAAGGAAAAAGTGTTAATAATACCGTGAAACCACGGTATATCATTAACCCAACCCAGCCCTAACGGGCTAGAGAGTTAAATGGGTTGGGGCGGGTTGACCCTTTTAGTTAAAGGGCCAATAAAATAGCGACCCAACCTAGCGCTATGCAGACCACGGGTTGGGACGGGTTGACCCTTCAACCAAAAAATGAACAATATTATTCTCTTAGAAGGAGTATCTAAGAGAATTGAATGTTGACGTCTATGAACCAGACATCAATACATACAAATTTTCATTTATGAATCACACACTTTAGCGAATACTCATAGAAGTACATTTATGAATATCAGACTTTGGTGAATGCTTACCAAAATACATAATAGTCAACGTAAGATTTAGCAGAAAAATATTGATCATTAAACCATTCCTCCCACAAAAAAATAAGCTAGTTTAAATGACTTGATTTTTTTATGTTTTTAACATATTTATTGATAAAACATTTACAAATAACACACTACTAAATATATATGTGTATATATAATATTTTTAAATATTCAAAGCCCATGGGCTGCTCTATGAGGCTAGCGGAATAAGTGAGGTTGGGATAAAAAGTCTCGTTCCTAAGTGGGCCAAAAAATTTGGTCCAACCCCACTTAATTTAAGGGTTGGGTTGGGCCGGCCTTGCACGTCAAGCCCATTTTGATGGCTCTACCCGCAACAACCCTATCCTTTTTAAAAAAAAAATCATTTATAAAATATTTTTAGAATTTCATATTTCATCCTCCCCGGATAGACATTGATATTATTTTGTTTTAAAAAATCTACCCCATCCTATATAATTTTCCGCTCCTATTTTTTTTTACGTTTTTCTTATTTTGTGTTAGATATGCACATACATATATTTTTACAAAAAAATTTCTACTAGCGAATCGAATATAACATAAACAACTAAAAAATATAAAAATTCTTGTGGCGGCAAGAAAAAAGTATTTTCGATAGTATATCTAAACACTGGAAAAAAAATTGAAAGTAGAGGGTTTGGGATGGGTAGAATTACTTATTTTTAAGAAAATAAAATAATATCTAAATTAGTATTTGATGAGGGGAAGGAGATGAAGTAAAAAATGAAATACTTTTATAAAATAAAATTTAAACAAAATAAAAAACTTTTAAAAATGATGTGGGGTAAGAAAAATATTTTACATTTTATTTTATAAAGAAAATATTATTTTTTTTATAATAGTTTTTTAATTTTTAATTTTAATTAATACTAATAATTTGTTTATTTTTTGTCAAGGTTGAATATTTTGTTCATGTGGAGTGTGATGTGGAAATTATTTAAATTAAAAGACAGAGAGTGTATTACACATACCATGATGAGAGTTGGATAAAAGAGAGAGGTGTGTTTATTAAATTATTAAGTGTTAGTTTAGGTATGAAATTCAAACATTCAATAGTTTAGGTATGAAACTAAAAAAAAGGTATAATTTTGGGTGTGTTTTTTGACACTTATCTCAAATAAAAATAATAATTGATGTATCACTCCATTCTAAAGCTATTTTTTCCTGTCAAAAAAATTATCGTTAACTAAATTATTAAAAATTTTAAAAATTGAAAAAAAAACCCACTCATTTATATTTAAAAAAAATGATATGAATTCAATACACAACGTTGTAAAAAAAGGGAGAGGACTCAAAATACAATTGAATTGTCAAGCTTCAATATGTTGGATAACTGGGAAATTTATCCCTTACTAGTTCCTTTTTATTGAAAATATGTGAAATTGTTAAGTAAAACTTATACAGAACTAATATATTCAATTATTATTATTATTATTATTATTACTATTGTTATTATAATATGTTCAACTTGGATTAGACTCCTTTTTATTTTCTCCTAGTTCTAATTTCGATGGGAAGACACCTAACATACGTTAAAATTAATCAACCAAAATAAGAATTTAACCATGATTTAACTAATTACATAGATAAGCCCTAATCCGTTACAAACATTATTATATATTGCTCCTTTTTGCCAAATTTCTTAACTCTCTTTTGTCCTCGTCTAAAATAATATTTATTGTCATATACTTATCATCATCCAAGTAAGAAATCAATAAAAATGAAGACAATAAAAATAAAAATGAGCAGAATCAATTTAACCTTAGCAACAAACAACTTATAAGCAACAAAAACATACCTACACATGAGGAATCAAAATAGGAAGAGAGTACATAAATACACAATGATCATACCAATTCGCCAAAAATAACATAGCATATCAACAACTTACCAAACAAAGCAGGGTAAATTATCAACAAAGAGTTCCGTTTATATTTAAATAAAAATACAACATGCATATTCAACTTTTAGGACACAACACTACACTTTTACACAAAAAAAAAATGTTTGCCATCTATAAGCAAGTGATACGAGTCATCTAACTATCGACTTCATTGATATTTAGAATACAAATAAATAAACTTCAAAACTTTGAATTCCTAAAGTGATATGAACACTTGCAGTGGTAAGGCCATAAGAAAAAAGACAACACTTGATTCTTGAAATACAAAAGAAAACTTTTAAAACAAATATTCTTGCTTCTTTGTATAAGAGCCGTCTTTGTCACAATTGCAATCTTTACTTGTCCAAATTTCCATAGTTTTTCTCTTCATTGTGCAGTGTTTATAATATTAACAATTAGCATATACATTCAAAATGCAAGTATTTAAGATGAAATCTAGGAACTTCAAGTAATCATATAAATATCTCAAAATAGTGTAAATAATATACTTACATATGATTATTTGGCTATACTGGATGCCCTTCATTTTTGAAATTTGAGTCGGAATCAATGTTGGTAATGAATGCCTCAACATAGAAATCAAATTATATTAGCACAAAAAATAAAATGTTAATATATCTAATAAATAAGCAATTAAAAGGGAGGGGAGAAGTTTGAAGGTCAAAAGAACAAATAAAATTGCAACTAAAATTACAAATGAAAAGCAAAAAAATTAACAAATAATATGATGGCAATGTATTGAGATTAAAAGAAGAAGAAGCAAAGAAACTTAAAGCTGCCAGTGGTAGTTAGAAGTTTGTTACAAAGTTTGTTATAATAGAGCATGTTTAGTTAATCAATAATGAATCAGTACATTCTATATAAATGAGAGTGTATATGTAATGTAGAGGCTAACACGAAAAATACAGATTACTTTGATTCATTGAAAAGAAATGGAGGATAGCAGTTATACTCTCTAGTAATGCATTTCATATTTGCATCTAGAATAGTTTAGATTCTACAATTATCATGGTATCAGAGCTTTTAGGTTGAAGATCAGATCTCCATTGACATTATCCAGCTTAACGAGATCGAAATTCAAGTTCTCAAGCTTCGATAATGTATGAAACACAGAATATACAACTCACAGAGGTTTCCTCAGTAGATCCACAAACAGATCACAATCATCCGTTGCATCTACAAGCTTCAGATGTTCCTGAAGTGGCTTTATTACCGATGAAGCTCACAGGCCCTGAGAATTATGGTTTGTGGAGCAGGTCGATGCGTATCACACTGTTAGTAAAAAGCAAACTTGAATTTGTGGATGACACATGCGTAAAAAATTCAGACAAAGTAGTTATGTTAAGCAAATGGGAAAGATGTGATGCTGTAGTTTTATCACGGATTAGTGCAACTGTGGCACCAGAACTGATGACTAGTATCCTCTATGCTTCGAGTTCAAAGGGGATTTGGCAAGATTTCAAGGAGAGGTTTAATAAGTCGAATTTAAGAAGGATTTTTTACCTATGGAAAGAGATAAGTGTATTAACACAAGGCACTGACTCTGTAACAAGCTATTATTTGAAGATGTGAGATATCTGGGATGAGATTGACGTAATGGTGCCCAGTCCGTCATGTGATTGTGAGACATCAATTTCCTATGTTGAGCATCTTAAGCAGCAAAGGTTGTTGCAGTTTTTGATTGGGTTGAATGAGACGTTTGCTCAAGTAACAAGCTCTATTCTGCTCAATCCGAACATACCTTCTGTTTATCAAGCCTATGCTATGGCGATACAGGGAGAGAGCCAAAGGAAGTTGGGCAGTACTGATTTAGGAGGAGAACCACTAACTATGTTTGCAGGAAGAAATGCTAATGTGTACAATAACCAGGGACCAGGACGAAATTCACACAATAATTCACAAGTACAGTACCAAGGGCAATCATCTCAAGGCAAGAGATCTGGAATCATATGTGAGCATTGTGGTTTTAAAGGGAACACAAAAGAAACTTGCTACAGGATAGTAGGTTTTCCAACAGACTTCAAAAGCAGGAGGAATGGACAGTCAGATGTTTTCAAGCCACAAGCCAATAATATCACAGTTGAGAAAGAGAATAACACTGAGAAGTTCAGCTTTCCAGGTGGATATTACAGTAGGGATGAAACACTGAAAATGATGAGTCCTAAACCAACAGGTAGTTGCAAGGCTGATGCACAAGCAGGTATGAATACTATAAAAAGTGATTGTAATCCTGATGTAGAATGGATAATTGACTCAGGAGTTTTACATCATGTAACATGTTCTAAAGAGTTTTTGATTGATCAAAAGTCTGTAAATCAAGCCAGGAACAATAAAGTGCAGGTTCCTACAGGAAATAGAATACAAATAGAACACATTGGAGACATAATGGTTCTAGGAAGTCATTGTTTGAAGAATATATTGCATGAGCCTTATTTTAAATTCAACATGTTGTCAGTTTCAAAACTCACAAAGGATTCGAATTTTGTGGTGTCATTCTATCCTAATCAGTGTGTATTACAGTAACTCTCCAATGGGAAGGTGATTGGGATTGGTAGAGAAATTGATGGACTCTATATCCTAAAAAATCACATAACACCAACTTTTGGAGCTGTTATCAAGGATGAAGATAGTCAGAGGTTGTGGCATCTACGACTAGGACATCCTTCTATAGGAGTTATGAAGATTTTAAAGCATAAAGTGGATGATGGTATGCAACAAGAGTGTGTTGTTTGTCCATTAGCTAAACAATTTAGGTTAAAGTTTCTAGTTAGTACTTCTAAATCTACTAGTTTGTTTGAGCTGGTTCACCTAGATGTATGGGGTCCTCATTAACATCCTACATATGATAGAAAACATTACTTCTTGACTATTGTGGATGATTTTAGCAAATTCACTTGGATCATGTTGTTGCAGTCTAAGAAAGAGGTAGTAGTAGTCTTGAAAAACTTTATCTCTATGGTCAGTAATCAATTTGGTGTTGGAATAAAAGTTGTTCGATCTGATAATGGTACAGAGTTTTTCAATACTTGTATGACTGACTTGTTGAATGATAATGGAATTGTTCATCAAAGTAGTTGTCCATACACACCTCAGCAAAATGGTGTTGTTGAAAGAAAGCACAGGCATATTTTAGAGATAGGAAGGTCTTTGAAGATTCAATCACAGATACCTAGTAGATTTTTGGGTACATGTGTATTGACATCTGTTTATCTCATAAATAGATTGCCTACTGTTCTACTAAATGGAAAATCTCCCTATGAGATGATGTATCACAGAGTTCCTAATTTTGATCATTTGAGGGTATATGGCTGTTTATGTTTTGCCACAGTATTGCCCAAAGGAGATAAATTTACAGCAAGAGCCAAGAATGTTGTCTTTATTGGGTATTCTTTTACACAAAAAGGGTACAAATTATATGACTTAGATTCCAAAATTGTGTTCATCAATAGGGATGTGACCTTCAGAGAACATATTTTTCCTTTTCAAGGGGACAAGTCACAAGAACCCCTACCTTTACTTTTACCATTTATACAGGATGCAAATGTTTCCCCAGATGCAGTACCTCTTGATATTGCACAATCAAGGATATCATCAGAAGTTTTAGAATTGTCTTCTGCTGATTCACTGCTTGTTGCAGAGACAATAGAACATGTTCATGAAGATGAAATGGATCCTGCAATTTTACATTAAGAGACACATATTGAGAATCCAGTTGAAGATATAGTGGCACATGTTGAAGATATAGTTCCACATGCAACTAGAAAGTCCAGCAGGATATCCAAGCCTCCCATCTGGAGCAAAGATTATGTTGTTCCAACTAAATCAAGTCCTTATTCCATATTGATCATGTTCACTATGCTCATTTGTCCAATACTTATCAGGCCTATGTACAATCTTTTTTTTGCTTTACTTGAACCTCAAACATTCAAGGAAGCTCACAGGATGTCAGATGGATCTCAGCTATGCAGGAAGAGATCAAGGCACAGGAAGATAACCATACATGGAGCATTGTAGATCTGCCTCCAGGTAAAAAGGCCATAGGCTCAAAATGGGTAGATAAAATCAAGTAAAAGTTTGATGGTGCAGTAGATAGATTCAAAGCAAGATTAGTGGCTAAAGGGTACACTCAAAGGGAAGGGCTGGACTACAATGAGACTTTTTCTCCAGCTGCAAAAATGGTAACAGTTATTACTGTAGCTGCTTCATATGGCTGGGAGATATGTCTATGGATGTGAGTAATGCCTTTTTACAAGGTAATTTGCATGAGGAAGTTTATATGAACTTACCTCTTGGTTTTCACAGAAAAGAGAACAATAAGGTATGCAAGTTACAAAAGTCTTTGTATGATTTAAAGCAAGCCTCTAGACAACGAAACATTAAATTCACTAATACTTTATTAGAAGTTGGTTATATTCAAAGTGCCCATGACTATTCTATGTTCACCAGTAAGCATGGGGGTGATATTGTAGTGCTTCTGGTGTATGTTGATGACTTATTGATTACTGGTTCCAGCTCCAAGATGATTGCTGAAACTAAGTGTATCTTACATCAACATTATGAAAGATTTGGGGAAGTTAAAATATTTTTTGGGCATAGAACTTAGAAGTGATGCAGTCCAAAGATGGAATTTTGCTAAACCAAAGAAAATATGCATTACAACTCATTGCTGACAAAGGTCTTAGTGGTGCAAAACCAGTTAATACTCCTGTTGAATTCAATCACAAATTTACTAGCTATGATCAACACACATGAAATAATTCTGATCCTGAGTTGGTCGATGTTACAGCACATCAGAAGTTAATTGGGAAGTTGATCTACTTGACAATCACAAGGCCGGACATAGCATTTGGAGTCCAAACTTAGAGTCAATTCATGCAACATCCAAAAGTGTCACATTGGGATGCAGCCCTTAGAATTGTGAGATACATTAAAATATGTCCAGGTCTTGGTATTTTTCTAAAGAAGTGTGAAATTACAGACTTAACAGGGTATTGTGACTCTGACTGGGCTTCTTGTCCCAATACCAGGAGACTGGTTATGTGATAAAGTTAGGAGAGTCCTTGATTTCTTGGAAGTCAAAAAAGCAACAAACTGTGAGTAGAAGCTCTGCTGAAGCAAAGTATCGAAGCATGGCAGCAGCAGTCTCAGAATTGATTTGGCTTTCGGGGCTATTGCAAGAATTGAATGTCCCTATATCAGTTCCTATTAAACTCTATTCAGATAGTAAGTCAGTTATTCAAATTGCAGGGAATCCCATATTTCATGAGAGGACGAAGCATACAGAAATTGACTGCCACTTCATTAGAGACAAGGTGAAGGCTGGATTTATAGATCCTCAAGTTGTTTGTTCCAACATGCAGTTAGCTGATATATTGACAAAGGGGCTTGGGACAGGACAACACGAATTTTTATTATCCAAGCTTGGTGTGTTAGATGTGTTTCAACCACCAGCTTGAAGAGGCGTATTAAGATTAAAAGAAGAAGAAGCAAAGAAACTTAAAGCTGCTAGTGGTAGTTAGAAGTTTGTTATAATAGAGCATGTGTTAGTTAATCAATAATGAATCAGTACATTCTATCTAAATGAGAGTGTATATGTAATGTCGAGGCTAACACAAAAAATACAGATTACTTTGATTCATTGAAAAGAAATGGAAGATAGCAGTTTTACTCTCTAGTAATGCATTTCATATTAGCATCTAGAATAGTTTAGATTCTGCAATTTATCACAACGGAAGTTGCTTCCAATTCTTCGTACCTAAAATTTGCTGAAATTCCATCCTATAATTTTCACTCCTTTGTAATTTCTTGATGATTGTAACCTTATTCCTGTTAGCTAACATACAGATCAATTAAAGAATAAGAATGCAACAAAAGATATAACGTAGCTCATTCAAAGAATATCAAGTGGAGTCAGAGCAAGACAAAATAGATGCAAATTACGATTTTCAAGGATTCTCGATTCGAGTATATAGAAAAAGTACAATAAAATAATAGAGAAAGACTAACAAAGTTCAAATCAATTAATCACTGTGCATTACTACAAGTGGAGTTTGAGCAAGCCAAAATAGATGCAGATTAAGATTTTCAAGGATCTTCGACTTGACTACATAAAGAAAATACAATAAAATAATTGAGAAAGACTAACAAAGTTTGAATAAATTAATCACAGTGCATCACTATGTTACTTGTGAAATACTTCCTTGAGATAAAAGAATCCACATAGACTGAAGCACTCTCTCTATGCATGTAGAAATTATAGAGAAAACGCCTTGAGAAAATCTAAAATAGGCAATAAAAATGATTTGATGTTGCTCAAATATATATATGGAATGATGTTGTAAATGTTCATAAATTGATATTTCAATAGTGAAAGATGAAAAGACAAGCAAGTTTATTTGATGACATCAGTTTTAGGAATTAATAATTAATAAATAATGTAATTAATTTGTTTGATGTACTTTTTACTGTTACAATTTTTTGGGGAAAAAACGGAAGATGATAAATTAACCTTCTCAACTTCCTCTACCTAAACTTCTTCACGCAGTTAAGTATATTTATTATTCACCTTTCAG